TATGTAACTTGTGTAATGATATTTATTAACGTGAATGAAAATTTGCAAATGAAGATAACGATATTTGCAATGACTCTATGGATAATGGGGTGTGTAATAGCTTCAGCCCTGGGGGCTTTTACGCATATTTAGCGTAATATATGCGAGTTGAATTATTCAACGTGGGGTGTGCGGAAAGAGGAAAGCGCAATTCACGGAAAACTATCGAGTGAACTTGAAATTGCGCGGGTTTTGCAGATTTTTTTGACGATTTTTTAAAATTTTCATGCCAATAAAATTGGATTACACCCGAAATTCCCAGAAATATCATATCACGATAATTGATTATGCGTAGATGAGATGCAATTAATAAATAATGAAGTCCGTAGTTACATGATTATTTATTGGCAAATTACTTGAATTCTGTATAACTTTTATCTCAAATTTTTATTAGAACTTGGAGCTGCGATAGAAGGGGAATCCGTGTAATTCCCCTTTTCTCGGTAAACGGCAATTAGTCTCATGTGTCTTTAAAGTCATCCTCACCAAACTTAGAATCTCTCCTTTTTTACTTTTCCCATTGACTAATTGCGGGTGAAATCCCGTGAAGTGATCCATAGAATCTCAACCCAGTGAAACTCGCACCCAAAAGGCCTAAGAAAAGTTCTTAAAATTCCTCAAAAAATCCTAATAACTATCAAATTAAATTCAACTCAAATAACATCATCCAGAAAGATATACTCAAAAATATTTTGCAAAAAAAAATGGGGAGGATCGATTTCTAATTTCTTAAGACGATCCGCTCGGGATAATCTCATGAGATATTTGAATGAAATAAATAATTCAGATAATAATTTAAAAAATATTTCTGAGGAATTTTTTTGTTTGGTTCGAGGTGCAAGTACTGGGTATTATTGAGCTCCACGGATTGAGTACCACTGTGCCATTTACAATTAAGCAATGTAACCGAGTCAGAGACGCGTGGAGCGTCGTGTGTGGTCCACGGCTTGGAGTTCACCTCTTTCCTCCCGGGGCACTAAGTCTCGTCGTCTCGTCTCTCTTCTTTATCTTGCTTCACGGCTGAAATAAGCCAAGCTGCTTCACTCCCACTAGTGTATCAATCCTCTATCCACACTCATCTCCCACCATCTACACTGCACGGCGCCACCACCGCGTTGTTACATTCCTCTCATCCTCTCCGTCGCCCTCCGCGCTCATTCCACGAGTTCCCAATGATTCATCCGAGTCGATCATTTATTTTTCCCCCGTTGGAAAATAGGAATACTCGCCGATGCAAGTGCGGAATGGTATATTGAAATTTAATTAGTAGATTTTGTCACAAGACCGTAAAGAAAGTGTTTGTCACTCTGTCGAAAAGAACTTTTTCATCACCATGTGCCGAAAAGTAACTTTTCCGGCACGCTACGCTTCGAAGAAATAGTATATTTCGTAACAAGTGCGGAACAGTGATTTTTGGCGCGTGGGGGATCTGTAGCAGGAGTAGGAGGCAGACGGCGGGGCGTGCGTAAAATGTCACTTTACGCACATTATGTCGAAAAAGTACTTTTATAGCACAAGTGCGAAAATTTTTTGTTTCCATCATTATCAAAATTTTACCTAAATATTAATAAAAGACTCGCGTTTCACTTCATATAATTTATCATTCCAAATACGTGAATTTAATTGAATTTAAGGTAAAATCCAAAAGTTCACTAGGACAAAGTAAATTTTCTCGGCAGAAATAATTTTTTTATCAGCATTAATAACCAAAAAGAGATCGACTGAATAAGGAGCAATGAATGCCGATGCAATTTTCCATTTGCCTTGTTGAGTTACTCGGGTGCTTTTTTCGAGAGTGCAATCAATATTCCGTGTGTTTACTCTGTTGTATTCTGTAATGGACAAGGTTAATGAAGAGTTCGTCATGGAGCCGTACGAACGGCAGGTGACGTTGCATTCATGCATGAGAGTACCGAGCAACAGATGAGATTTTACACTGAAAACCATCTTGGGCAATGTTTCGCTCGGCATTGATTCTCAATCCTCAATTTTGGTGTGGAGGAGAAGAGAGAGAGAGATATTTTAGTGAGTCCGCGAACGTTCGCGTACATAAACCAGTCGACAAAAATGTCTTTTCAGATTGGGCCCACACATCGCGTTGCGAGAAATCTAGAGGTCTGGATTAAGTCATTAAGTGTCATAACTGGTTGTTCTCGGGAATCCTAAAAAAACAAACTCATTGTAAACACGAGATTATGCATAAATTATCGTTGACTTGGATGTCGACGAACGTCGGTGCATAGCTAACTATTTTTCGATTAATTCCGCATTAATTTCCCAGATGAATTCCGAAAAATTTTATCGTCAACTACAATGAAATTTCAGGAAATCCTATCATTGGAAAATGCGAAATTCCGATTACTTTGTAAAATGTTCATACGATCTACAAACAATAATTAATTGATTATTTGAAAATTTTGTTGGGGAGAAATTGGAATTCTTGTCATTTAGATTTTTATCAATAATTTCTTTTACTGTTATAGGGACGAAAAATGAAGGTTAAATGAAAAATTAATCCTGATATTGGAAAAAAAATATTTTTCACCGTTTCTTCGGGCTTTTTGCTATTTTTACTATAATGTCGGGGTAAATTACTACAATTTTTCTTCGTATTTTGATTGATCATTGCATATTATCACGGATCTGTGTTTTGCAACCTACCCTCCATCCCCAAAAAGACTTTTTAATGAGAACTATATATGGATCCCAAAACACGTTTATGGACGCAGACAAAACCCCAAACTTGACTTTTAACTCGTCACGAGAATTATAATTGGGTGAAAGTTGCTCAGCATCTTCTTTGACATTGAATATTTTTTTCTTTTTTCGGGAGTTTATTCACACGTGACGTAACATCATAGATTCAGCGACGGCTATTCCCTAACGCTGATCCCCTCGCAACTTCCAAAATTCAAAAGAAAATCATCACGCACTATCAATTTGTTTCTCATTTCCCTTCACAGTCAAAAAATAGACTTAAAATTAAATTACGCAATTAGATTGACCCACATTCCCAGCAGAAATGTCCAACGCAAATTTCTTCTGGACGTGCGCAAAAGGGAAAATTCTTGCGTGCGATATAATGAGGTTCAAGGGTCGACCTTCGGTGAAATCCGGTGGATGCAAACTGGAGAGAAGAAGCACCTAGATTTTGGTCTATTGAAAAATGGGTGAAGAAGCGTCGATGGGATAGAAAAGACCTTCCGTGATAATTTATTGGTCAATCGGAATGACGCATGGCGGTATAAGGTGACGCGTCAGCGTTCGCGGTCGACCATTAATTTTAATACCCGCCAGCATTGGGATCTTTTCCTCCAGGGGGATTTTAGCCTCTCTTTCTCTATATAGCTTCTTGGATCGCCATCACCGGTGAGTTGATGGCATTCTGGCATCCATCGGCGGCTTCAACTGGTGCAATAGAGGCACAGTATAACTACTACTGTGCACATTGCACTGAGACAACCGGCTAAATGCTTCTCGTTCTGTTAACGATCGTCCTCGAAAGATCGACATACCCACATACAGGTTAGCGTCAAATCGCTTCTTCTTTTTTTTTTATCTTCTTTCAATTTCTGAAGAATTTATTCTGACTTGGTTGGCTATCGAGGTAAGAGTTACGAGAAATTCACAGCAAGAAAAATTCACTGTAACTTTAAACTCATTTCATCCCACTTCGCGGAGAGAAAAATTTTGGCTAATTTGTTGTTGTGGGAAGTCCCCGTTTTAGTGGGAGATCAGTTTTCACTGGAAAAAGACGGAAAAATTGTGGAAATCATTTCCAAGAGGAAATCAAACAAATAAGAACTTATTAAACATTCTGATATTAATAACCAGAAAAATAATGAATACAGAAGTTGAAGATATCTTCTGGAAGTTGAAGAAATATTTAAAAAATTTGATAACTTCAAGGTATTTGTTTAAATATTTTTCCCAATCCAATTAGCACCATTTCGATAACATCTGAAGCTCTCGGTGGAGATGAGCGGACACCTACACCAGATATGATATCTCGTGAATCACTCAAAAGTCGGAAAAGCCATCACATAAAATCACAATCTGTTGAGACCGTAAATTGTGTTATCTGAACAGCCTCTAAAATTGATACTGAATGAATTGTTTGGAGTGAGTTGATAATAGAGCTAGGGTTAAACGAGGTGTGCGCTATGTTCTAGCTGAGTGCGTAGAGCTCATAACTCGTTGGTGTAAAACATGCAGGGAGAAACAGGCGTGGTTGAACCTTGATATCAACCATGGCCACCTTTCAACTGTAAATCAATTGATATCGCTTGGTGCGCGTGTGCCTCTTTACCCTCTTTCATCCTCGGTACCATAAAAACAATAAAAGAGAGAAAAAAAATAATCAAGTACACCGGGGTGATGCCATGGAGCACATGCGCCAAACCAAATCGACCCGCCCCAAAAGTACTCCCTACGCCCACTTTTCCAGGGAAATTTATGCTCATTGTCTTACAGCTCATGAAATTTTGCCTCATTAAATCCCCGTTTATCATCATCGATTCTCCATCGTACACGTCAGCCTCATTATTTTTTTATTCTAATTAGTCAATTAATCCGATTGTCAACTGAGATGTGCGCGATTTTTTTTTTTTTCGAGACCAGTTTTTGGACGGTATCTCGGAATTGGAGGAGGATAATGATATTTTTGTAATGACCTTTTTTGTAGCTCTCATTTTTTTCTAGAGAAAATGTTTACGTAAAAAATTCAGTTTGTTCCGTCGATTCCGAGATATCCGCTGGAAGCTGAACTCGAAGAAAATGCGCTTTTCTTTGTTTACCATTTCGGTATTCAATTGTGATTTACAATAATTATTCATTGTTATTTGAATATAAAACAATACGAGGTCTGAGGATTGACATATTTAAGGGTCAATAGTTCTGTTGGTAATTTATTAATAAATAAATAGTAGAGTGTAGAAAAAACTTGTTTCAATTTGCGTTTATTCATTTTTTCACATACTTAAACGTAAATAAATAACTAAGATACTTTATTTTAAACAGTCTATAGGAAATGTTACCGCTAGGGGTGACTTTTTTCAGGTATATTCACATGTCACAGTATTTTTAATCTTTCCCTTTCATACACACATGTACAATATAAGTAACTCACTTCTTTATTTATAATTTAATTATCTTCAGATTCCCATTTGCCAGCATATGATATATTATTGCACATAGCAATTGTTCATATCATTTCGAAAATTTAATGTCATTTTACAAGGTTTCTTCATTTTTTTTTACAATAAATTAATGAGCGAATAACCAGCAATTGGCAATTCATTTTACATTATAATCTCAGTTGAATCAATGAAGAAATTTGTGAAATGGAAATAAATAAATAAAATGGCACTGAGCTTTGTTGCATGCATTTGTAAAAAAAAGAGAAAACAATTTCATCGGCAGAGTGAAAAAGTGCGTGGATTTTTAATGCACTTGTCTGCAATTTCGATCTATCTGTAATAAATACAGAGAAAAAAAAAATAAAAGCGAAATTCTCTCGAGACAATTTGCAACGCTGATACAATCATTTGAAAATACTTCTCAGAATTATTTGATAAAACTAAAAAATCATTTTCATCACTTAGTTTGTAGCTCGGCTGCTTGCTCTTCCTCCTCTTTAGTGAGTGGCACAGTTGAATGATTGTAAAGTCCCTGTGCCATTAATTGAAGTGCCAGTGGATTTTTTTGGCCACTTGCTTTTTTTATTTTCGCCCTTTTATTTTGAAACCAAATTTTAATCTGCGCCTCGTTCAGACCCAGATCCCTCGACAATTGCTGTCGCCTGCGTTCCGTGAGATATCGATTCTCAGCAAATTCACGTTTTAGTCTTGCTAATTGGTCACCACTGAATGCAGTTCTAGGCCTTTTCTCCTCGGGTGTTGAACCAGCGGCTTTCGTGTCAATCGACCTCTTCACCCGCCTCGTTCTCGGACCTGAAGGCACACGTGAACACAACCTATTGTTAGCTGATATCTGCATCGTTAACCTCCGATCATTTTTAGTACAACACCCCAAGAAAAATACACTCTCTTTTAATGTCACTTGAATTACTGCTCAACCGATTTTTTCACCGACCCCATTTCACCTGCACTGACAAAAAATTATTCAGTCAAAGTTCCCTAAAAAATTCTATAAAAAATTATCGCAAGTTTATTAAAAGTCCTTGAAAAATAATTCTGGACTTTCTTTTCAAAAGTTTCAAAAAAAAGAAAATTCCCCGTTAAAGTTTTCTTCACCCGGGTATTTAAACATAATACCATTGACTTGGTATTAAAAATTGTTTTTCTCGACTGTAATGACTGCTAAGTACTGATGAAAAAATATATCTTCGATATTCTCACCGGAGAGCAGATTATTTTCAAAAGTATTTTATGCAGTATATTATTTGTTCTCCCCCCTCTGAATTTATGAATTCAAACTGAATAATAAATGACTTGCAGACACTGGATAATTGGAAATAAATCAAATAATAACGATCAACGTCCGACGGTATCTTCCTATTCACATCTTACCTCTGCCAATACTATCCCTAGTAAATACATTGTACATACGAACACTCGGGAAGAAATTTCTCATAGATCCACGAACATATTGTGCAGAAGAATCCCCAACGAGAATGCCAATTGTTTCCGCGGTAATTAGTATTAATTATATACGTACAAATAACGACATTATAAAATTCGAAACGACCGCTCAAATTGTTTATTCAACAACAATAAAAAATATTTCTCAATAATTTCCGTTTGTTTTCATCCAACGAAATGACTCGAAATAAAAAATCAGCAGTATGACATTCTGTCTGAAAAAATTCATAATTTTTCTCAATGCTTTCTCTTTGTTTTCATTTAATGGAATTACTTGAGATAACAAATGGCAGTCTAATTGCTTGGTTGAAGTGTTTCCTCTCTCAAGGGGGCTTAAACCCTCTCTCATGAAGTGTTAAGGGGATGAAAACCAATAATGCCAAGACCTTCTGGCAAGAAACTTGACGTATCTTGCATACCAATGTACGGTTAGACGTGAACCGCTAATTTCCATTGGTGACTCTGAGTTAGACATTACTACCGAAATTTCTACCCATTACCATCGCCCCTCCACTGGTTATATCTTGGTATTTGTATCGAGTCTATCTTTCATGTTGGATTTAGATTAGCTGCCCAGTCTGTGTATCAGGATTACTTACTTCGTCCTGAGAACAAAAAAAATAAATACACACCGATTACACAAAATTATACAGCACTTTTATTGGATTATTCATGCATCAATAAAATTCGAGGGAATGCTATTGGTGGAAATTTAACATTTTAACCACTCGGTGTGTTAAATTCCCGTGTGAGTAATGACCGTCGATTGGTCACTCGTTGATCGTTACTGCAAGTCGAATACGTGTCTGCGTTTACGTTTCTACGGGTCGTTAACTTGTTTCCATTAAGGCGCGGCTAAGTAGTTCCCCTTTTCTTCTCCATTATCCTTTAACCCACGTATCAGATGTTATGTACGTCTGCATTTTTCACCGCTTAATTGTCATAGTTTTTGAGGATAATGAAAAAATATATACCGCGACATTTGTCACTGGAAATGCACAGCCTGTCGAAATTCTCCGGTTGAGCGCAGGATCTTTATTTCCTGGGTTTATTATTAATGCAGCTTTCACCGGTATTTATGTACATGCATGTATCTAGTGAGATATATTTCCGCTTCTGCACTGCAATTAAATGACGATTAAGCAATATGGACAATTGAAAATTGTTGTCGACTGTAATCGTCAGTTCTTTGGTGCATCGGGAATTTTTATGGAGAGCGGTGCGAATTATGGGAGATCATTATTGGGGATGGTTGATGTTTATTAATTGTTTGTGAAGTTAGGAATTAGTTGGAGGAATGTATTATCAGAGGGGATTAGATTGTATTTACTTGGCATGACATTCAATTTGTTTCTGTTGAAATTAGGTGTCGTGCGGAATTTGTAATTGATGAGCTGTCAAACTTCGGTATTAATTTATTACTCGAAAGCGGATGATTCAAGAACAAATATTTCTCTTTTATTATTAAAGAATTCCACTTAAGATTTCAAACAAAAATACTTGACATTTTAACACCGACAGACTGATAAGAAATTTCTAAAATTGAATTCATTTAGTTAATGTAGTTATTTATTTTTTTCAAGCCAAATGAAAAATTTAGTGACCGCTCTTAATTGAAATTGAATTAAACTCTAAATAATTAAAAAATTGTCATTCGCTCAATTCAACAAAACAGAAAAAATAATTGATATTGAATTTTTCGTTCCCGGCGACAGAAAAGGACTAATAAAATAAATGTTATCTCGGAATTTTCCGGAAGCATCTGTTGCGAGTTTTGCCAACTCCCGTTGATTCAATGAGAAAATAGAAGAGAGCACTTGCAACATGTGAAGAAATGACACGACAACGTCAGGATATCCCATGCAAGAGTATTTCACGGGATTTATAAACATGTTGATACACGTGTATCATAAATATTTTCATCAGTCTGTATATATACGATGCTAATCCTAGGGGATAAATTAAGGCGCGTAAGACGTAGTGGAGAGAAATGGAACGGAGAGGAGTTTGGACGCTGTGAAAGCCTCTTCTTAAACAGAACTGAGTGAGGTAAACGATTAACCGTCGGGTTGGACTTGGGTGGTTGAAATTAATGTTACTCGCTTAATTGGAGCCACCGCAACGTTTGTGTGGCCAAAAAGTGGTGCTCAATCCGAACCTCTGAACAGTCTAACCTTTTGAGCGTAATTATCCAAAGAAATTAATGATAACATATCTCATAAAAAATTAACCATTGCCGATCAACTACCCGATCGTCTGGAAGGCTAATGAATTAGCCTTCCAGAATCACACGTGATTTTTATTTGCAATTTTCACTCCTCTGATTCGATAATTCAAGAATAAATATCAATTGCAAAAATGCTACACTTTGAAGTTTTATCAACTGAATTATCGATTGGGCTGAATATTTTTTTATGAAAGTGTAAAACAATTTGAGGATTTAATTAATTCTAGCGTGAGGATCCATTGAATTTGCTACGGTTCAATGACAGGAGATATAGTAATGGCAAGGGGTGCCTATATTAGCATCGAGTTTATATGAGAAGGCAGACAACTCCCCTAGTACAATACTTTGAAACACGCGAGGCTAATGTGTTAATAGAACTCTATAATGGGGACGAAGAAGGGCTGTCTGACTATTACATCATTTCGCCAGGAAAAATTATGACAATCATTATTTATTTACTTATTACCAGCGTAGATACAACTCTAAGAAATTGCACTTGAAACTATACCCTCTCCTCTTCAGTAGCGATTGAGTTAATTGTTTAAATATTCAAGCGAAAAATTTTTAAATTGAAACTGAGTGAAACGCCGTTATTTTTTTTTCAAGTCAAATGAAAAATTTAGTGATCGCTCTGACTATTACATCATTTCGCCAGGAAAAATTATGACAATCATTATTTATTTACTTATTACCAGCGTAGATACAACTCTAAGAAATTGCACTTGAAACTATACCCTCTCCTCTTCAGTAGCGATTGAGTTAATTGTTTAAATATTCAAGCGAAAAATTTTTAAATTGAAACTGAGTGAAACGCCGTTATTTTTTTTTCAAGTCAAATGAAAAATTTAGTGATCGCTCTGACTATTACATCATTTCGCCAGGAAAAATTATGACAATCATTATTTATTTACTTATTACCAGCGTAGATACAACTCTAAGAAATTGCACTTGAAACTATACCCTCTCCTCTTCAGTAACGATTGAGTTAATTGTTTAAATATTCAAGCGAAAATTTTTTTAATTGAAACTGAGTGAAGCCCCGTATAATAGATAATTCAGGGAAGTCTTCGCCTAGATTTTTAATTCTTATGAAATTTTGGAATGTCTTTGAGAGATTAATTGAAATGAATTAATTTCTTCGTGTCGTTTTTTTTCTGAATGTATGAGACAACTTTAAGACGATTCCAGTGAATATCACGTATTGAGACGTAATTTATCGGTAGAATCCGTCGATTGTCGGAGGAATTCGAATGATGAGGCTCTAATTATCTGGTAATAGCTCAATATCACTGATCTGTCCTTGTTCCATAATCTCGGGGATATATATGAGATAGACCGGAAGAAAACTAGTTACATTATTCATCCAACGGCAAGAGATTGCTTCGATATTTTTTTACAACGGTCGCGTTACTCCGTTTTATTAGCAACATTGAGTGAACAATAAATCAAGGAATCCGGTTGCTCAATGCGGAGAAGTGGAATTAACCATGAAATTTAATTTGTAATTCGATTGATATGTGAAAATGGGGGAAACATGCCAATGCAATCGGTGAAATAACGTGCAATTTATTCGACCTTGGCACATTTAGCGAATGTGAATTGATTGATGAAAAAAGTGAAGTGAAATTAATATGTCGGGCACGTCAACCATGGGTGGGCCCTGCTTTTTATCATGAGAGGACGTTAAACCGTCGCGTAGGCGGGACATGCAAATTATCCGCACTGGATTAGCGATACATCTTAATTTTGCGGTTAGTCCAAAAATACACACATCTTAACTCTCTCTATTATATTTTTCTCCCCCTCCTTCATCTCAATTGTTTCCTTTTCTACTTCTAGATTTATTGCTCTTTCTCCCTACGCGTATGCTTTTTTTTTTTCTCCTGTCACGGATGAATAATTTTTCCCATCGAGTAGAAAATCGGGATTATCAATTTAGGTAGTGTAAACCGGTCGACTCGTGCTGTCTGAATGAATCGAGGGGAGAAAAAAGTGGGAAAAAATCTATATTCCGGGAACTTCTACTTGAGTGGAAAAGTTTGTCGGAAATTGCAAGTGAAAATTTTTGTGACTGCTCTAAATTTTATTCAATAATAATATCACCTTTCAGAATATTCTAAAAAATATTGCAAGTAAAAACATTATAGGGTAAATCCGTTCTTTTCTAAAAATATTAGCCCAACAATAATGTTTCAAGTCGAGACATTGCGATTTATTAAATTATTTAAAAAAATATTGCAAATGCAAGGATTATGATATAAATAACTTATGAAATATTTTGAGTTGCGATATTTTGATAGATAACAAAAATATTGGCATCGGTAAAATTGATTATTTTGAAAATGGCGTTGAATTGCATTTGCGATCTTTTGCAATTTGAAATCTCGCAGAGTTCTAATGAAAAATACATGAAAATTGAAATGTAACTGTCACTAAAATGCCAATAAATTCTCGACAAGTTGAATTGACCAGAAAATATAGCCGTAATGAATGATTGTTCGCAGCTTCAATTGGGAAGTAATAAAAAAGAATCACATCTCGTAGGCAAATAAGTTGGCAGCTGTCCCTGCGGTGGTCCCGTCCGAAAGATTAATTTTAATTGACCAGTAGACAGGGCTGAATTGAGATTTATGAAGTAAATTCATTGTCTCGAGTCGTCAACCGGACCACAACACCACACATCGTTGGTGTCCCTCTTTGTAATTTGTCAAATACGCCTTTATACACCGTATCAGATAGGGATTTCTGTCAAACTTACAAAATTCCCACTGCCTCCATTTTGAATGAATACGGTATTATTTTCCCTCATCAAAAAACGGAAGTTATTCATCAGTACGAGCCAAGGGCATGTCCTCAAGACCCCCTTTTTCCTCCAATGAGTGCATTAATCCGAAAATGATTGATTCACAGCCCAAAGAATATGTTATTCCGCTGGTTAAGTATGCCTTGGGTAAAAGTGCACAGCGTGTACTTATCTTGATGTACTACCTCCCCCTTATTTCGGAAAATCACTTAATTGCGTGTTTTTTTTTCAACGAGATGTGACGAAAGAAGAAATATACAGAGAAAAACGATCGGAATTTATCAAGTTGTACAACGAGGTAGTAAACCGATTTTCACAAATATCTCCGAGACAACGAGAAGTACAGAAAATTTTATAAATTACATTTTTGTAGTTTCCGATGAGCTCTACAAAAAAGATTTTAACGAAAATTCCGCTATTTCCCGTATTTTCACAGATATTTCTAAAAACGTTCACATGATTTGTCTGAATCTTTATTTTATTGCAACGGCTTCCGTAATTATATGTTATTGCACTCAGTACGTGAAAATTAATTGAATTTCAATCTTTCAATTTCAAAAATTTCAATTCAATTG